ATAACTTGAAAGACAGTCTTAAGAGGTTAACCAGTCTTTTAATCCGACAAACGTGAACAGGAACTGGAAAAGAATTGGATGCTTCTACGGAAAGCATGCATTCTTGCGGGTAATGCATTTTCTGGTGCACGGACGTGAAATACAAGAAATATGAAATGCCACAAAATCTGATTATACCGATATCCTGGCAGAATTAAATGGAAAACATTATCATCGGCGGACACGAGAGCAAATCTTCCAAACAACGTCGGTTTCAACAGATCCCGCAAATGATCGCTGATGTAGAAACCGAGTGGGAGCTCTTTAAAAGCGGCGTATTCGCGGCTGCCTTCGAATGCTGCAGATTCAAACGAGTGGGCCTACTGCCTGCATGTCAGAAAAGAACTTGCTGGTGGAGACGAGAAGTACAACAGGCAGTTAAAGAGAAGGCTGCGCCTATGAAATGGATTGGAAACAACGAGCCTTCTCAGAACTCGCATGCCATATGTAATGGCGACAAGGCGGCAGCTAAAACAGTGGCTAAAGTCAAAGCTGATTCCTGGAAGAAGTTCGGTGAGGTGTTGGAGTCGAATTTCCACACGGAAAACAAAGTATTCTGGCAAACCATCGGCCGGCTACGAGGTGAAAAGAAGGGCTGTCTCAGAGTCTTGAAGGACAGGTCTGGACACCCTCTTACCAAGGATGATGACATTCTTCGGCGATATAGGGAGTACTTTGAGGAACTCCCTCACCCCGCGTAATCGCAGGAAGACTCGCTTGTAGAGCAAAAGGGTACGGGTATTATTATTTCTGTAGATGAAACCACACTAACTGTGAAAGCTTGAAAATTGGAAAGGCTGCTGGAATTGATTAAATCTGCTCTGAAATGCTGCAAGCATTAGGCGACAAAGGCTATTGCTGGCTTACACATGTCTCTCAAACTGCAATGGCTACGGGAAATGCACCAACAGACTGGAAAGCGGGGTTATAGTATCCCTGCTCAAGAACGGAGACCACAGGAAGTACACCAATTATCGGGACTACTTTACTGAGCTTCCAGGGTAAAGTCTACGCAAAGATGCTAGACAGGAGGTGCCTTGAAATAACTCCAAAATACAAGAGCACTGTGGCTTTCGGCCCGGCCGAAGCACAACTGTCCAGATATTCGCTGTAAGTCAGGTTGTTGAGAAACTGTGGGAGTTCGCCCATCCGGCGTAAATGTGCTTTATCTAAAAAAAGCCTATCACCTGATCAAACGCAACAGTCTGTGGTCATACCGGGGTGCATACGAGATAGATGACCAGTTGCTACGGGCCAGTCAGCCACTGTATTCTGATAGCAGGTGTTGCGTCAGAGTAAATGGCGGTAAGTCGAAGTCTTTCAACGTTGGAACTAGTCTCCGTAAAGGCTGCGTCCTGCCCACCATCCTGTTTGTGTTGTACATGGATAGAATAGTCAAGCGCAATCAAAGCGATGAGTGTATCAGCGTAGGGGATGCTAAGATGAGAAGCTTGCCTTTTACAGACGACCTTGTTTTGTCTGCATCTTCTGAAAGTGATCTCCAGTGCTCCGTAGAAAGGTTCGTAGCCGAGTGCGACGTGACCGGCATGCGTGTGAACGCATCTAGAACGAAAGCCTAGTGCTTTCTCGTTCTTCTGCACGCTGCTCTCGTCAGATGAATGGAGGAAGT